GTACATATGTCTAAGCACGAAGATAGATTTGTCGTGGTAAAGCTTCAAGACAATTTTAGTTGAAATTATAACAATCATTTGTGACAGTTGCAAATTTCGAGCAAGTGCTTAACGAAAACGATGAGAAATGGTTAGTAACTTAAATTAGAAATAAATCGCTCATTTCAAAGCGTAAAACCTCTACTTTGACAATCCAAAGATGTAAGAGAAATGAAGGGAAGAAGATTTAGAAGAACTAAATTCTCTCTGAACAATTCATAATTTAACCCTTCGCCTTCGAGAAACTATTTTTGTATCTACCAACAATTTATTTACAAAGCATCATCACTTCAAATAAAATGATACGACATTCGATAATAAAATAATCATTCAAACAGTATTTAATACGAAATTTTGCTGGTTATATCGTTTCTAATATCGTTTAAATTTAAAATCAACGTGCACTGCAGATTTACTAGGGCAAGTATAATATACAAGAGTTGATGATAAATTCTCGCGAACGCGAACATTTCGATGCAAATCGAAACGAAACAGGGAAGGGAATGGACTTACACCACTTTCGAAAGCAAATGGTCCGCATCTCAGAGAGAAACTGTTCTCTTTGCCGATTCTTTCTTTCGAAAGTATCAAAGTTTCCAAATCACCTATCTCTTTGACACTGCTTCATACATGCGGAACGGAGGCGAAAGCGAAATCCTGAACTCTCGGATGACGTGTCAGGATAATCCGGAGGATTTGATCGTCCGGTAGAAAATAGGATTTCGAAGCAGCTCGAGGTGAACTCGATACGTACGGGCACACACTTTCTTTCGGTTAGATGCGCGCTCGCCCTGCTGTCGTCTGCCATCATCTCAAATTGCAATCAATAGATACGCGACGAGACGGCGCCGAAATCGTTGCTTTGTCCAACATGGTCACACATACACACACACTATGCAAATAGAGAGTGTGTCGGGAAGTCACGTGACAAGGATCGCGCGAGCTTTCGGCGTCCTGTCGTTTCGCTTTCGCCACGCGGACATTGTTTGCTCAACCCCTTCCGATGTTTGACTTCCCTGCGCTCGGATTGTTCGATGTTTTAAATTGATTCGCAGGTTCGCGGTGAATTTTTGCTCGAGAAAGTTCCCCGGCTGACAAATTTCGCGGACGTTTTTCAAACGACATTATTTGATTGTAGAACTTAGGAAGTTATTCAGGTTAGTTAAATTAAATTCGTAAGTTAATTATAAATTAACGTTTGTCTCTAGAAATTTGAATTTATAAATTTTCAATGACTTTGTTTACACTGTTTGTATATTTCGTCATTCTTGTTAAAAGTACGAAGTTAGTGGAAATTATAAATCTAGGAAGAGTTGCGTCGAAGAAATGAAGATATCGAGAGAACACAAATTTACGAAAAATCATTCGTATTTCTAAAAATACAGTGCAAATCAATTCGCGAAAGTTACGAGTTACGAATGGCCATTTTGATCACCGTGATAGATCCAACGCTATAAATAGTCACATATCGATTCTTAATTTTTACAATTTTCATTCGGCAAAAATTGAAAAATAAAATAAAAACTGTTCTCTATATTTAGATATGGACGAAGAAGATGCGTTTATACATAACATTTCTTAATTTTTTACAATATGAAATAATAAAGATTAACTTTTGGTAATAATTGTCTGTGTTGCTCAGGATAAGTAACGTCCTTGTGTTATCGACACTTTGACTAATTGTAAGATCTATGATTATTCCTGTTTCATTCACGGTTTCGACCAGAGTTACGTCAATTCCTCAGCGAGTTACATCCAACTAAATCCATTTGTAACAAATTTCTCACAGCAATTTCTCACTTTGCGACTAACATCAGAAACGTGAGATAGAATTTCTGATCTTGGAGAATGAAAATCTATCGTCTAACGCGTCTTGCCTAATTGTTTTTATGACAATAGCCTTCTGACGATATTAAAACTTTTTGTTCGTTCGAACGGCAAACATAAAGTGTTTAATAAAACTCACTCGTAATTTTGTTGCCATGTGTTATAGTAGAAGATGGTCATCAATCTTCTTATAACAATAATAAACTCGTGATATTACTCTTACGAAAATCCTATTGTAAACACTTTGTGATTTTAAATAAATTGTCTGAACAATGGCTATTTGTAAACTATTGTCATGTCTACTTTTATATAAATATATAAACGTAGACGTAATATCTAATTTTATAAAAATAAATAAGTTCCACTACTGATTTCCCAGTTTCGTGATCACTTTACTCTTAAATATAAAAGTTATCCAACTTCGTTGTCTTTTTGCCAAACTAAAAATTCCAAAGCAATTTTCAATATTTTCTTCCTTCCTAATTCGCGATCACAGTTATCAAAAATAATGTAATCTCTGACAAAATGTTGCAAACGTCACCACTTGCACGAGGGATCATGCCGAGTTGTAATTTTCAACAAAAGAGGAAATCTTCAATCTGCCAGAGAAAATTCGTTTCGCTTTTATCGCGCGAACAGTTTCATTACAGTCGGCGATTTTTCAAGGTGTATTCGCATCTTCGACCGTGAAATTAACGTCTGATATCGTTGCAGCGCCGCTCTCGGCGGAGAAGTTATCGCCAGCCTTTATGAATTCATTTCGCCGACGACGACGTGGATTCTCCAGGGTGGGTAACAAAGTGCGATCCTAATGAAATTTAATCTCGGGGGCTTTTAAATTTTTGTGAAAGACTGTGCAGGAACGCGCGAAAACCGCGCAATTTTCATCGTCGTTGCGACACGTATAGAACTCTCTGTGTGCCCCCCGTTTCTTTAATTACTTCGGTGTACAGTTGTTCCCTCGTGTGAAACGCGATCGAACAGGGTGGCGGTGTAATTATTGGGAGGGGATGGAGGAGGAGGAGGAGGAGGAGGAGGAGGTGATTTAAACACCCTCCATCAAAGATTTCTCTTGTACCTTACGTGTGGAGGAATGTTTTGTCAAAAGGAGAATAGGGGGATATTGAGGAATATTTCCAAGCCTCCACGAATTTAATTAGAGGTACGCTTAATTGGTACAATCACGAGCATATAAATAGGAAAACGATTGATTTTTCATTTTCTTTCTATTTTTTCTTTGGAGCTTTTTTTAAAAGAAATTTTTCAGTATATTACGTATCTTTAAATATATATTTAAATATTATATACAATACACTATACATTGCACATGTTTTAAATATATATACATTGTGTGTGAAAGATTAACCAGACATCATCAAGTTCCTTTTGTAATTTTTATTTAACTAGAAATGTTTTATGAAAAAAAGAAATTAAAGAATATTTCCTAGCCTTTAGCGGTATGATATGAATTTAATATTATTTAATTTTGCGATGTGAATTTAATTGGAAGTACGCTTAATTAGAACATTACAACGTTGATCTTATAAATTCCTTTTTCGACTTCTCTTTTTAATTAGTTTTAATTTCTAAATACAAAGCTACCGTGTGTGAAAACTTTCGTTTTGATTTTGTTTTCTTTCAACCTTTAATTATCCTCTTTTTAAACTTTAAATTTTAATCCTCCTTTTAACCCTTAGATTTTAATCCTTAACCTCCTTTTAACCCATAAAATTTAAAATATTCTATGAAATATATTTAATCTAAAATACTTTACAATTGAGTCTCCTGACTAAGAAATTAGAAAATCTTAAAATTGAGCAATTTGATTCAAATGTCGATTAATTATATTAGCGATTGACATATGATTTACAATTAGAATGCGATATAAGTATTGCTGATGCAGTCCTCAAATTTTTATTTCAAATAATTGAATGATAGTTAAATTGAGTTAAATTTGATACAAGAACGATTTATTACATTTCACTTCACGTTGAAACTTTCTATATAACTTTCACGTTTCCAACTTTCTTCAATCTCGTTAAACGCCAATGTTGCGTTAATAGAATATTTTACCTTATTTATTCAATTCTATTTTTATGAAAAGAACTTTCAAAATTTGTTTAATATTTTCTTAGCATTAGATTACTATCGATCCTTAAATCAAATTAATTTTGTCAACTTTTTATAATATTTCGAGCTCACTATAAAAAAATACAATCTTTTTTTTATGACTCAAAAACTACAAATTTTACGCCCTTATCGCGAAAATCCTATGAGCAAAAATTCTATGACTGTCAAGAAAATTTATACAACAATTAAATTCTGCTCGATCCTTTCCTTGTTTAATCAAGTATTCGAAAGTTATTTAATTCTTCCTGTACTCAATCGCTATACATATCGATTACGTACCCATTGATTTTCCAACATATGAACATGAGCATAATCGCCAATTTCCGTAACATCAAAAGTAAACAACCAAATTCCGTTTCAATTCTCGCTTAACTAAACACAAACAAAAAAAAAACACGCCTCGCGAAACATTAAAATCGCCAACCACTTCCAAACTAAAGTTTAAAAACCATCTTTCTAAACTTGCAGAAAAAAAAAAAAAATTCGCAGAGAATATTTTGGAATCTGGACGAGTGTGGTGGTTGGTGGAAACGGAGCGCCTCGCCCCGATCGTCGTCCTGGCTAGGTAGGATGGGAGGTGAATGGGCAGGAGAAGACAACGGCAGGCCACTCGAGGACGCAGGAACGCGGAAGCGGGCGCAGCCGCGGGGAAGTTGAACGCGATGGGCGCCGACGCCGCGAGGGTGAGGGCGAGAGCGACGCTGTGGGACGCGGTGGTGGCGCGGGGACGACGTCAGTAGAAATGCCGCGTCCGCGAGCAACGCGTATCGACGACGCTGCCAGTTAGCCGTAAGGGTAGCATCGGGGTAGTTCCAGCCGAGAGTACGGGTGAGGGGCGCGTCAGGATTGACGACTGACGCTCGCGCGACCGACGGGGCGTCCTCGACTCCGTCCGCTTCGCCCTCTTTCCAACTTCCAACGCTTCGTTCTCGTTCAGTCCTCTCGTTCACCGATCAAATCCTCGTCCGATTTCCTCGCCCGTTGCGAGGGATCGTCCCTCCGTCACACCATCACAGCGCTTAACGAGCACTTAACGAGGCGAGCGTGTCTCGATCTCGTCGGGGGATCTCGTCAATCCGAAGACGAAGGATCAAGGAGAGGATCGACCAGAGAGAGAGCAGTGAAATGAGAGGCAAGGATCCCAGAAACAATGTCCGAGAAGAGACCAGTGATAAAAGGAGAGAAACGTACGATAAGTAGACGATGCGGTTCGTCGACGATCACCCTTCGCGCGTCCCTTCTTTCTATTCTCTCCCCCTGAACGCGATCGATTTTATTCCTCACCTTGGGATGAACGATTCTTGGCTGCACGAGCGACTGATGGCTAACCTTTGCGCGCAGTTAAGGCAAACAGCAAGGCAAACATCGTTACTTCGGCGGACGATATTTTAGACGCTCGTCTAGAAGAAAGTGGCTCTCTCTTTCTCTCTCTCTTCTTGCCTCTTTGGTGAAAGAAAAACTCGGGAAATGTTGTCTCAAAGCTCGTTCGACTAAACGTGGCTAATGGCGATCGATCGGAAGAAACGATCCGTTGATTATTATTTGGACGCGTGTATGGAGTAATTAGGCGTGTAGACCGGCAACTGCTCGCGAAGTTAAAAGGCGGGAAACGAGTGACACTCGAGAACGAGTCTCGAACGTAGGGAACGTCGGGAAAGAAAATCGAGGAACGAACATTCGAGGGTTAATTGTAATTAGGATATCTGTAGCTTTCCGCTTGGCAGTTCGGTGAACTTGCACGCCAACGAAAAATTCAAAGACTGCTCACTATTTCAGGACGTAGAGACTCTCTCTCTCTCTCTCTCTCGGAGGATCGAAACTTCCTCGTTCTCGGAAGGAAATTCTCGCAATTTTCACGGCCTTGAAAATTATACTTTCGAACACGCGAACGAGAGGGGAATTTTCGCTTTCGATCGGTTGCGATTTCGAATCGATTGTCAAACCAGGTTTCTCCGTCGAAGCAAAATAATTCAATTCTTGCAGCACGAAGACCAGCGACGAGGATATAAGCAAGGACAAGGTGAACTCGTGAAATGAGAAAATCCCAACTTTGACCGAAGTACACGTTCGAAAGTATCCTGGCTCGAGTGTTACAACGATGAATCGGGAAAACGAGGAAGTACGTTTGAATTGCTTCACGAAAGTTTCAATTTCATTTCTCTCTTACAATTAGTGCTTCTTCGCTCTGCTACCCTTCCAAACTTCCCCAACCACTTCAGAACGTTAACTTCCACAACTCGTCAAATGTTTTTAATTTTGTCAAAAACATGACGATTCACACAGTGAGATTTTTAATTCACATTCGGATGGTTTGCGAGGGCATTTACAATGTTGTCTGATTGATAATGTTTCTGCAGCAGCGGCCAGTCTCTCAAACGCTTTGCGGCGCGTTGCAAAAAGAACCTAATTGCAAATGTTTGGTGCTCTCCGTGTTAATATACGGATGCCTTGCCGCAGTGACGTGGTGTAGATGCGCGAATGTCACGAAGGTACGTCACTTCCTCTGCATTACGAAAATCCAATCTCGAGCAATTTCTCGAACGAGAAACTTTTCGATGAAACAATTCGATTCGCTTGAATCGAAGCTGGTAAATTTAAATAGAAACGGGATTTCTTCAGTGGTAATTGTTCGTAGGTGATAATCAATTTCACGAGGTATCCAATTAAAAGCACGAAACACGTGTCCCCCTGTGACGATGGCTACATATACATCCCCGTAAGTAAATAGAAAAAAAATCCATTCGAATTATGTATCTACAATACGTTTGCCACGGGAAAAATCGAATTGCTCTCGTGCGAGTAAATCAACCGCCGATACTTGAAATTGACAGTAAGATATCTTCAGTCTGTTTGTCTCTCTCGTCACAGATATTAAATTTTCGTTTACAAAGAAATCCTTCGTCTTTAATTAATTTTGAATTCCGCGAATTTTTTAAACGGTTGTGTAGAGTGTTCCAGGTTTTTCTCCAAGTCAAATCATGTCGGTATATTTTATACTGGAAATTCTCTATTATACTTATTAAAGTTTAACAAATATAACTGTACACAAA